CTGATGCAACTAGTTGCCTGGCCAATTGGGTTCCTCCTTTTGCTCAGTGATCGAGTTTCTAAGCCACATGGCTTTGTCTTTTGTGTTTTGATCAAATTTGGTTCCGCTTTTGTTACTATGTTGTGCAGTTGAAGGCTTCTTTTCAAGGACATGAGTTCTTGTTCAAGGTTTTGAATTCTGAAGCTTGTGGACTCATATTCTGTAGTTGAAAACTTGAAATTCTGCATCATAGTGTCTTTCTGCAGTAGGAATCTCAAGGGCCTGCTACCTAGCTCAGGTCCATCAGTGTATGGGCTCCCTCCTAGATTCTGACTTGCAGAATATGGACACCTAGAGCTTGATAGGCTTCCTGACAAGTCTCCACAATGTGCATATCTGAATGAATCTGAGCATTCTTTGAAGGCTTTGTGTGTATTGAGTTGTTGAACAAAAAGTGCTTGGACAATTAGACGTAGTGGCATTAGTTCATTTTGAACAGCCTCAATGCACGCCTCTTGTGATAACCTTTGGCAATCTAGAAACTTGCAAACCTCTCCCTTATCATCTTGGGATATTCCCGGATGTGTCTACATTAAGAAAACAAAATATGTTAAGGCTGAAGTTGTATTGGTCTTTGTTAATTGAAACTACTATTTACACATTATTTCTCTTTTTAAAGTATCGTGATTTATCATATCATTCTAGTTAATCTATTGGTTTCAATTCATTTAGACAATTTTTTCAATTATACCACATGGTAGAGCCATGAAAATTCATTATAACATTCAAGTAAACAGATGACATTATTGGCATGACGCATGTGGAATGAACTAACTAATGAAGTTTAACACAATCCAACATTTTTAACAAGCTTTGGAGGCATGCTGAATGCTTACCTTGAGAAAGACGTTGATTGCTTTGTAAAGTGGGTAATGATTTTGTCTATAAGATGGCGGCACCCTTTCAATGAGTTCCATGAATTTCTTAGGTCCCATGTCTGGATCTGAAGCTACGTTGAATAGATAGGCATCCCACAATTCCGCAACCCTGTAATTACTAGCTTCTGGGGTATGATTTACATGTGAGTGAGATGCTACATATGCTGAAATTATGCTTTCCATAGTTGTCAACTCGATGCTAATGGACATTGACTTTGCCCCACTTTCTGGAAGAAGAAAATCCTCCACTTGGGCAAAGTGCAATAGTGATGTAATCTGGTCTTGCAACTTTGCCTTACTATCACTTCTCAAACCTAACTCAAGAAATCTTGAAAGCAAGGCAAAATAAAACCCAACAGGAATCACTTTCCTAGCCTTATCACCCATTGGAAGAAGATCAATAATGCCTTGTAGAATTACTGAAGCTTTGCCATTCATGCCACCTTCCTCAATCTTCTCACAAGAGCTCTCCCAAAATTGGCGTGTCTTTTTAGAAAGTAACCATTTGTTTGCATAGAAAACAATGATTGGACTCACGTACTTTTCCTTCATTCCTTGTTTTCTTAAGGATCCAATAACCCTTTTGAAAAAACCAAACGGTAGAGCAATCAGATCCTTCATCCACAGGTCTTGACTCACAACATCCTTCATTATTTCACAGCTCCAAGCTTGAGAAGCTAACTCTTCCAATGTAACAACTGGGGTGTCTCTCCTTCTTTCTGGATCAAGAACCTCCATGCATGCCATGAAGGCAAGAGACTCAATGCAACGACTCACTATAAGCAAATCTTCAGACCAAGGAAGCAGCATCTGGCACCTTTGAAGTGCAATAAGTGTGTCATCCCAACTTTGCAATACCACTTGATTCAAATAAAGATCAAACCGTTCACAAAGATTGCCTGAACAATAGTCTTCAGTCATTTCAAGAAACTCTGCTGCACACCGCAGGGCCACAACATTAAAAGGGTCAATCAATGTGGAGGATCCATAAACAAACAAGGCAATCATCTCAAAGGTTTCTGGTCCTCCAGGGAAAGTTTCTGGCAACTCAACCTCAGATGCATCATTTAACCTCTTCTTGAAGTACCCACTCTTTGAAGCCAAAGGAAACTGCACAACGTAATAGGTAAATAAATAATTAAGGGAGTTATTAACATTCTTGAATTTCATTCTTATTCAACTTACTTTGTGCAAATTAAACATCTTGTCCTTAACTCTAACACGGACAGAAACAGGTAAACCTGTCTCTTGGCTCCTGTGACAAAAATTCAAAATTCATAAGAACTGAGAGATAAATTATTGTAGACATCTAACATGTAATATATCTTAATCTTACCATGTGATGACCTTAATCTTGAGCAAGGCTCCAATGTTAGGTGAAGAGAAAGGACTTGAAGAAATAGAATACTCTTTTGGACTCACAACCTCCATGAACAGAACTTCAAAGTGCTACTTCACAATGGATACTACTTATTCTAATTGTGAGTGTGGCTTCACAAACAAATGGAGGTTGATATTACTATTTTAGACCCCAACTTGTGAATCTGAATCCTGATTTCTTAAGGCACTTAAAGAGTAGCAGCAGGGTTGTAATGGAAGTGAGAAAAGAGGTGGAATTTGATGAGTTTGTCGCCAACAATTCTTGAAGGCTCTTCCACTAATAGTATTCACCTTGGTGTAGTCAAAGTCAACATGCACACGAGTGAAACTCCAAGTCCAAATTTTAAGGCTTCAAAAACGTTCTCGAATGTTGGGAACTTGAATCCTGGAGCTACAACTTGGCCACCTCGGCCAATAGAATAGGGTGACTTTTCATGCATCCTAACATATTAATCTTGCACTTCAAGTTTGTGTATCTAAGCCCGTAAAATCATACTCCTAAATTTATGATAATATAAGCTTTTTAAACTTGCAATAATGTATATATTCAACTTATCAAACATTGTATTTGTCAACGTTTGAGGCCTTAATTGATGGTTGATGAGGCATTTGGAAAGCGATGGGACCAAACAGTTTACACAAGTTAAATTGAATTTGGTTTAGATTTTCATAAAGAAAATTTGGGTGTATTGGGAAAAAAAATGAGGGATATGAAAAAAATAGCGCAGGAAATGATGGGATTAAAATATTGTAAAGGGTGGGAGATGAAGTGCATGTGAAGTTTTGTGGTTGCTTTTGGTGGCGTATGCTAACGCCCAAGACGGCACGGCTACTCAAAATTGGGGTGCTTTGGTTATTGGGTTTTGCTTGCTTTCAACCACACACCCTCCATCCCAATATTTACTTTCTCCCACACTTTGAAAAGTACCTCATAACTTGCAACACTCCATATTTTTTGGGTTTTATTTAAGATCATTTTGGTTGCATTTTATTTCATACATTATTTAGTAGTTATATATGTGTACATAATTAGGTTAAAAATAGAATATTAAATCATTTAGTTAAAATAAATACAAAATTTACCTTTTTTTAATAGATTTTTAGTATTATCATCGTTGTCACTAAATTAAAATTTAATTTACATTTCTAATTGTATACCTATTTCTTTGTATAACTTTAAAATAAATCATAAGTCTACATCAATTGCAATTCTATCATAATTAAAATTAAAAATTTACATTATAATTTCAACTTCATCGTTGAAGCATTAATTTAGTATGCACAAAAGTTGATATTGTTTCTATTGTAGATACTCTTGTACTCAAGAGAAGGATTTGAACTACCTTATAATAATTTATCATACAAAGCAACATTAACCTTAACTAGGATTAATTAAAGAAAGTTATAATTAGTCAAGTAATAAAACCCTATTCCTAAGAATAAAAGAAGAAGAAGAAGCCTACTCCTAATTAATATTGATTGATTGGTTTTTCTCCACTAAATTGTCGCGTTACTAGTTTTGTTAATCAAATTTCATTTGCTTGATTTAGTCTGATTTAATTTACTTTAATTTTCGATTTAATCATTTGCATAAATAATTAGAATTGATATATATTTTTTAGTGTGCATGTCAAACGTATCTTTTAACCAATAATTTAAAATTAATCTCTTTGAGATATAGATATTATCAGAGTAAAATTTACCTCTATTGATAAAAAAAAATTTATACTCACAAAAAATAATAAACCATAATAAATATAGCTAAGATACCTAACTATCTCTTACATGCTTTATTAATGAAACACGAAATTAACCAATATTTTTTTATCATTTTATTAGTAGTTAATTAGTACGTTTCCGGATTTTGCGATACATAACCTTCCATTGGAAACTCGTATATTTGCATGTGTGATTCATACGTTGTTTTTAATACCCCAGTGGCTTATATTTTATAATTAAGTCACACATCAAAAGGTTGGTTGGTTAGCTAATCCCACAGGAACTTGATGCTGCATTGTAGTTTTCTATTCTTAGAAATCAAGTAATGATTTATAAAAGCTGTTCATGCATATGCTCAAGTGGAATTCCTAATACCATCTCTCCCAAAGAGAGGAGAGAGAATCATTTGGGTGGCATTGACTCTTCATTTATCTACCAACAAATAGGGATATGATGCTTGCCAAATCTTTGTAGCAGATTTGTGCTTCCTTGTTCCTTTTTTGTCAAAACCATGGAATTCTGTTAACTAGTATTTTTATGGAATGAACTTCAACTTTAGGAAAAAAAAGAACTTGCTGGGAATAATTTTGTGGAAATTGGTAAAAATGTATTACATTCTTATCTTGTTCAGTTATTCCATTGGAAAATGAAAATTCCAGATCCAAATTCAAAATATAAAAAATTAATGTAGGAGCTCATTGTTTTTTGTTGGGCCTTAGTGTTTGCTCCTTTTCTTCTTTTTCTTAAGCTAGTTAGTGTCGTCTAGACGTTGCTTCAGTCATAGATGCCTGTTGAGATTCAAGTTAATGCCACAGCTGAAGCGAGATCCAAACCCATTTAACGGAGACGTTGGATCGGTTTAATTTGGGTACATCATACTTCTTGACCTGGTCTGCTGTTGTAAGCAAGAAGATTTTGGAAACGAAATAAAGACAAAAGAATGAAAGATGCTTCTCAATTTTCACGTAAAATATATGCCCTCCAAATTTTCCAACTATTACCAGCTCATTCAGTTAAAATATTTGGCCCCAGGATAAAAATATGAAAAAAATGTTAATTACAATTCTAAGCACTAAGATTCAGAATTTAACTTTTAAGGACTAAGGTTGACACATCGTCTCGTTTTCCCTTAAACAGTAGTATAATGAGTTCGGTAACATGCTGGTCAGTTCTCCTTGCTTTCATGTCAACTTCCATCCCACTAATTAAACAGTATAGCAATTAAGACAGCAAATAGATTGTACAGTCAGTGCTTTACAGCACATTTTGTTGCAACAGTTGTGTCACCTGCCATAAATAGGCCACGTTTGATTCGGTTGACGCTGTCAAAGTAAGTAGAATTTTAAGCATCCACGATATGCAAAAAGAACAATGGCTATATATATTTGCATGTCCACGTTTTACACCCTACCTCGTGGTATAATGCACTTTGGGTGGACACAGAAAAATGTAGGTGCGAGATAACCATCTAATTAGATACTTGTCTGTTTATGATTCAAAGCTGCAACCAATTTTGAGGGGACCATCTCAATGAACAGAAAATGCGAGAAATAAATGATGGAATCTGCTGGAGAATCTATAAGGGGATTAGCATTTTCACTTTTCGCCAAAGGGATCAATATTGTCTATAGTTCAGTCCACCGATGAAGTTATGTACATCACCTTTATGGTGAAGCTGGAATAGAAATGCATGTACTAACAATCAGTTCAGGATACATTCATATACTAGGAAGTAAAAGGTAGTTTGGACAAAAGGGGTCATCTAAGTAACAATGAACTCCTTGATTCCGTTTGAAGGAACGCAATCAATTGATGGGTGTTGATTCTTCATCATTGGTGAGTTCATAAAAGAAAGGATCCTTGAGGAGATCCGTGGCTGAAGGTCTAGCCCTTGGTTGTGCTATGCACTTCTCAATGAATGCCTTCACCTCTGTATCTGAGACTTTGCTCAAGGCCTGAGGCCTAATTCCCATTGTCACCTTTTTGTATATCTTGGCGACACTGTCACATTCACTGTAGGGTATTTCCATTGTAACCATTTCAAGCAAACACATTCCGAAAGAGTATATGTCCACCATCTCAGTGTAATCTTCCTCATACAGCTCCGGAGCCATATACTCCGGCGTCCCTAAAATTGAATGCGCCGCATGGTTCCTTCCCACTATTGCTGCCAATCCAAGATCACCAATTTTCACCTGCAAAAACCTCAAGTAGAAAAAAAAAAATTGAGTTTTGTTATTTAAACGACTCAATTGACACTGATACCATATATCATTAATTTTATCTATCGATAACCTTTTATATTTTCTATATACTAGCATTCTGAAAATACCCACATTATAAAAATACACTTCACTTTTAGGCTGCGTTTGATACACAATTTATTTAAACACTTTTTAAAGGATGTCATAAATCTAACATAGAACTGATTGAAATAAGTTAAAAATAGTTTATTTTGATAAAAGAAAATACCAAGAAACCTATCGAAATAAGCTGAAATTATCTTGCGATAATCATAAACTGTTTTACATAAGTAATAAATCTTCCAAACAGACCCTCATACATTTTCCAAAATCATCGTTAAGTTTTAAAGGATAAGCTCTGAGCTTTTAAAATAAAGCTGTGCATTGCTTAAAAAGAAAGAAGAAAAAGAAAATGCAAGAGTTGGCATGATAAGATGAGAATCGAATAATCAAAGGAACCTGGCCAATGTTGCCGTTAACAAAGATGTTACTGCAATTGAGATCCCTGTGAATAATGCAGGGGTCGTGAGTGTGAAGATACTCCAAACCCTGAAGGAGTTGTTTGGACCATTTCTTGAAAGCCTTGATGGAGACATGGGGATGCTTCTTGCGGTAATCTCTGAGGTTACCAGAAGTGCAGATCTCAGTGATGAAATTGATAGTGTGGTGATGGTCATCTTTCCAGACACTGTAACAAACAATGATGTATTTGTTTGATAGGGTTCTAAGCAACTCGACCTCAGAATGAAGGCGATTAATGAGAACCGGATCTTCACTGAAATTCCTCAACCGAACCTGATTCCAAGCCACCTCAATGCCTTCCTCTTGATCGAATCCTCTGTAAACCTTCTTCACTGCTCCACACCCTAGCAGATCGTTGTAACGCCCAAACCTCCCCGTTGGATCAACCTCAACAAACGCTTCAACTTCTCCATCACATTCACCATTGTTCGACTTCGACTTAGAGTTCTCAGCAGGCATTTTCACTCCCTCTCTCTCTCTCTCTCCCCTATACAATTAGTGATTCCTCAAAACGATATCATCGATTGAATGAACTAAGCAATAAACAAATTGAAATGGAAATGAAAATATAGTGCATTATGCATGAGTCGTGCAACAGAGTTTACCTTACGAGCGAGAATTGGGAACGGAGAATTAGGATTATGCAACGTCAATAGAGAGCGTGGAAAGTGAACAGCATAAGATGGGATTATATAACCAAGGGAAAGGAGATTGAGTTGGATGAGGTGGCAGATTCTTATGAACACAATCTTCTTTCCATTTACTTTTCCTTTCTTTATTTTTAATTTTCACTTTGATATGCATTGTGTAATGAGGATCACTGTATTTGGATTCTCAAGTTGTTTGTTTTGTTTGGTTCACGAGAAGAATGGGGAAACATTGCACTCAAAGGTAAAGCTTCAGGCAAAGCCCGTGTTCCAGTACCTACACTTATGCCGTTATCTCCATCTTCTGACATTGTCTTCAACTGCACCTTAATCATGATACTTCTAGACAATCTCCTCGCAAATAACACTCCTCTTTACTACTAGTATACTCTTCGTTGAGTTTTTCCTTTCTAGAAGAATTTAGAAACTGATTTAAATGTTATTATGTTGTTTTCATTGTAGATTCTCCCACACTCTTCGTGACACGCGGGAGGATATGGCTCTAAGATTCTTTGTTTAATGTATTCAACATCTATATTACTTTTGTGACACGCGTCCAATAGTCAAACCCAAATGCTTTAATACGAAAGTTTTAGATTCATTGAAATTCTTATTCGTTTTATAGGGCGGCATTGTATTGTAGTCTTGTGAGGTGGTCAGTTTTTTTACTTTTGCAAGGCTACGCACCCGCAAGCACATAACAATAAACAAGCAACTGAGCTTATCAGTTTAGTAACAAATAGCACAAATGAATCGACTTGATCAATGTAATTCACTCCTCTGTGAAAGCACCCTTCCCCTTGTTATGTTAATTGTTTAGTGCATGTTTGGTTTTGCGTTATTGGTCGAGCAGATCCAGTTGAAGAGCTGAAAAAGCGATCAATTATCTGTACATCACATGCAGGCTCAAGAAGTCTTGTATCCTACCTTCATCTGACAATAACTCATACCATAAAAACAAGTATTAAACGGCCATCTACACCGATTCATCAGTTTCATGCGGGATTTGGTTACACGACTAATGACTGTACACATAAAATTATAAATATAAACCAGAAAGAACCTATTTCATCAAGCAAAAAGAAACATGAAGAAACTTTGCAACAAGAACAAAAACAAACAGGAAAAGGTCAGACAGAGATAGTAGCTTCATAGATAATCCAATAAAACACCGCCAAGGAGGAATTGGACGAAGAACTTTTGTCAACAAGATTTCGAATATTGACAACCAGTATCAATGAGTAAAGCTAAAATTAAAAGGAATACCATTCTAAGCTGGGGTGAAAATTCAGAATGCAAACTTTACTTTCTCAGATTGACAGATTGCTGTTTCTCTCCAAATTTATGGTTAATGTGATTTTAACGCATTATCAAGGGGTAAACAATTACAACGTGGTCACTTTATCATTGTTTTCAAAATATAATACAAACATTGTATACCATGAGTGATCTTATATGGATGCCTCTCTTAAAAGATGGACCTTTTAGAACCAGTGTCCCACGAATCCACTTGATCAAAGATCTTGGATCACACTACTACCTCTCTAATCCACTGCTCTTTAGGTGTAAAGTAGCCAATAAGTGCATAAGGAGTAAGAAACACACAAAACTAAGGTAAACTTTGCACGAAGTGTTCAGTCTACAAATGGAACAACGAGTAGTAATATGTAGAAAAATTTGCAAATTCTACAAACTTCCTTTGAGCAGCAAAGAAGACGCCAATGCCGCGCGATGCTGTATCGACAGGTTGAGTACGACGAACGCGGCAATACCACCCTCAAACCCGGCGATGCCAAATGGCTATGAAATCTACCTCCCGCTCAGCTAACGTCACTTCTCCTAGAAGATGGAGGGAGAAGGAATCGTGGCTAGCTGAGGCAATAATACCTGGACCGTGGATGTAGCTGTAACTGCCTCCCTTCCAATACGCAAAGGCTCACACGATACCTCATCAGCTCTGGCATACCTACCCAATAAAGCCAGCATGACAAAGGAGCATTTATATCACTATCCTCTGTCGCCTAAAGTCTCTTCCTTATGATTGGCTACCATGATAATCTACATTCAATCTCCGATCACTGGTAAAATACTAAAGGTATGATGTGTTGAATTAAGCACGTGCAGGGTGTGAAGAGAACCAGCGCTGCAGTGGCATTCATTAGAAATCAGTGATGAATTTTAACCAAACACCTAAAACCAAAAGGTTAATCACGTCCTCCCTCAAGGACTTATACCAATCTGGATCACTATCCGCTTCAGTATCCCCTAATAAAGGATTCAATCCGAACATATCTCATAATCAACCCGAATCATACCTTATATATAGAAAATATTAAGTCTAGATCATCCGCATCTCATCACACAGAGACGATAATAGCTGATTCATCTGTTAAAAAGATCATAATGCCTCAACACCATTCAAACAATCCTGCTCTAATACCGGGCACAGTGCATAACCAGGATACTATTAAAAAAATAAATCCCAACAAATCAATCAGGGCTCGTTAGCCAATCTGTAGGTTCGATAATTCGTCCCAATTAGTGGAGGTTTGGCTTTTAGTTGAACTACTACAATCTCCCTAGTGCCGCGCGGGTTATAGGTTGTCGTATTGTCATTATTCAAAATCAATAGTAGTTAGAGTATCCTTTCCAATCCAATGCACTATAACTACTCTTTCTCTTCGCTAGATAAACATACAGTACATAAACCAATTCACAGCCTTATATTCTCTCGTTGTTGGTATAAAACGCTGATCCAGACCACCTATCACACTAGCATATCAAATATCTAGTAAATCAAATCCTCACACCTACAATAAAATGACCTCCGGTGTAGTATGATTATCCTATCCATTGAAATCATGTAGTGTCAACGAACGTGCGCCATAAAGCACGGATCCAAGGATTATCAATTATCCTCATGCTCATCTATAAAGAATTCTCCGCTGTTTCATCATTATAATACGGAAATTATCGCTTCCTCTCTCTTACTTATCGTATCTCTAGTGAGTTCAATTCTACTACGAATATACGGCCGTAATGCAATTATTTAATCACGTACTCGATTTCCCAGATGCATTCTAATAAGTCAAAGGCAATAGAACATAAAAAACAGAACGAAATGTATTAAGAGAGAAAGTGAGATGGGAAGTTATCTCAAAGCCAATACCTTCTGTATATATGGATTCTATACTACAATAGGCCAATGGAATCCATACAGATACCCAGAGGGTAAGGTGTCTAATTAACAATAGTGCAACTCAACACAGGACGATACCCGTCGGAAACAAAAGTGGTGGTTGTGCAGCGGCTGAGATCTAAACATTTGTACATAGTCGGTGCTTTCTGATCGGTAGGTTCAGACCACTGTGACGTTTCAATAACCACCAATTCTTACGAACTGTGTAGGAAATGTAGGTAATATGGTCGCCACTGGCGGCTCTAGATCCTCAACTAACACCATGGATGTGAGTCTCTCCGGAGTCTCTTTAGGACACAGGCGTCAGAGTCCACGGGTTTAGCAAAAACACACAGACGATAGTCGAGGGCTCGTAATAGCCTCGAATCCCTAAGAATGGTATTAACTTAACAACTTAGAATATACACTATGCCAAATCAGAGTGAAGGTTCGAACCGCGCATAAGGATCACTCGATTACTCATTCTCGCAAACACATCTTAAAGTTGGAACTTATCTAAAATTCAGCTATTTCACATGTTTTTACTTTGGTTTTGTGATAGTATTGACGGGTATTACATATATATAGAAAGTCCAGGCCCATTCAAATAACATATCCTCAACAGAAATCTTTTCCCCGAAAGGTGAATAAAAATATCGTATATAATGATCTCATTAAGATAATCACGATATCTGGCCCTGAGTAATATGCGAGTTCAGAGTTCATATCTCTTTATGCATTTTTAAATACTGAGTAATGCCTACATTGCACTATCCCTCCGTGAGGTTCCACCTACGATGGTAATGAATACCATAAGTAGTAGAGTGCTGCATTTTACGAGGAAACTGGGAAAACCGTAAAATATATGTGTATGAGGAACCCGTCTCAGTTAAGTGGAGTATATAGGAGGCCAGGGCCGGAGAGCACCTAGTTGGAAATATGCGATTACAAATTATTTATTTAATATTAAAATTTTATAATTCTATGATATCCTTTCTATTTTTGGAGTTTTTCAAAAAGAGAAATTCTGTAGTGCTACAAAATTTGTATTTATTGGTCTAATCGAGACGTCAATTGAGAAAAAATCTCATTTAAGATTAATATATATATTAGATGATTATCTCCCTTAAGTATCTAAAAGATAAAGAAGGAAATATTAAATGATCTTATTTGGTATACTTATATTAAGATTACACTAATTCTATTATTTTTATTTAATGTTAAAGATTCAATTTTGATTATTTTTCACATTATTAAGAAATGGTGTTAATTAAAATTAGTGGGTAATTAGTTAAAATTACTAAAATAATTGTCAAAAGTTTATATTTTTTTATGGTAATTGTAAATCATTACTTTAAATATATATATACCATCATAGTGTGGTCCCACGAACACTAAATCGTGAATAATAAACCATGTTAAAAGGTTATTTTTTTATTATGATTTATCAAATATTTAAATATTCCCCCGAATATAAAAGAAATACAATTTAATATATAGATCATATGGTATGACTATACTCACACGGAAAATTTATGAAATTCTCTGTATTATAACTACAGAAACTATGAATTTATCATTTTATACCTCTCGACCCCATTTTTGTAAAAATATTATATTTATTATTTTTTCTTCATTATAGGTAATTATTCTTAAAATAATACAAATTATTATAGTCCTTTTGATATATACAAAAAACCAAATATAATTTTAATTAATATTCTCACTATTGAATTGCATTATATGGGTAATAACAAATTATTCAAATAACTTTATCTATCAAATAACCAAATAATATCATAATATTTGAATAATATAATTATCATATAAATTACTCTCTATTAATAGAAATATATTTATCCTAGAATATAAAATTATACTAATAATATTAATAAAAGGTGAATATTAGTCTGGAGTGTAATCCGTTTTAAAATTTTTAGGATGTCAATTATTTATAATTAAAGTATGTGTATTTTGAGATAAAATAATCATTTATAATATTTGTATTATTTATATCTTGATTCAGGTTGAATTATTGATATTAGTTGATTATTACTTCAAATAATTAAATTAGCGTTGTGATGTTTAGAAATTCAAAATAATATAAAATTTAAAACTTGTGTAATGTAGTCAATAAATTATTAATATATTCTCTGGTTTTTAAAAATTAATTATTATATTGTCATTCATTATTTAGTTAAAAAAAATTATGATGTGAGTAAATAAAATATAATAGTGCATTTAAATTTATTTTATTTCGATAAAATTAAATAAAAATTAATATATAAATTTTTATTAAAAAATTATTATAATAAACCAATTATAATAAAAATAGAAATAATTAAATAAATTACCTACTCTTTTACTATTTAATAAATTATTTATAATATATAAGAATTACAACTGTAAAATTCTTTCTATATAATAACTCTCTAAATATAATGGTGGAGTTATGATTATTTAATAATATACTCTAGTTATAATATTACACTTAAATTTTATATCTGTAATATAAGAAACGATAATCTATTAATAAAAAACTTAAAAATTATTATTTTATATCACTCTCACATTAAAAGTATTTATATATTAACATATTACAAATTCCTCAATGAAATAAACTTAATAATCCATCTGAGATTAATCTCACATAAATATATAGAACTTTAATAATTAATAATTAATCTTTATATGTGAATATGAATATAACTGATGTGTACAATATAATTAAATGTAATATGATATTGATGTATAAAATAAAAAAAGTATTTATATTATTTTCACATATGTCAATAAGTTATAATTAATAATTGCTTCTAAAATATATTAATTTAGATAATTAATATTAATTAACAACACTACTTATTCAAAGATTTTTAAGATCTCGTCTAAAATATTATAAATTATAAGTAACTATTACACTCTATAAATTAAATTTTTTAGAATTATTAAATTTTGTGTCTACATAATATATAGTATTTGAACCTTGATACTAAATTCTTTAAAAATAAAAAAGAAAAATATTAACGTACACCTAGACAGAATTAGTAAAAAAATTAAAATAATGTATATTAAATAATGTTAATAATATGTTTTTATGATAATTAAAAATGAATTAGTTTATAAACAAATTAAGAAAGATTCTATAAATGAAAGTTGTGATTATACGTATTAAGGCGAATAGTGTGAGAGAGAGTTGGTTGGGGAAGGAAAAAGAGGAAGCGTGGAACGAAAACTTGACAAGTGAAATGAAAGCATATTCTGTATTGTGTGTGAGCGGGTCACTTTAGAGAGAGAGAGAGAGAGAGAGTGGACTTTTGGTTCCATTTGGTTTGCTTTTTGGTCAAATAAATAAGGATATCGTATTGCACTGCTTCCACCAAAACCCACCACACCACACCACACCACACACAACTCAATTCGCTTCTTCTGTTCTCCAATTTCGAGGCCTTACTCTTCCCTCCCTCTGCTCTGCCTCTGCCTCGGGGTAAGTAACCAATGTTTCTTTTTCCTTATATATTTATATATATAAATATTAATATAATGAAATAAGGGAATAGTTAATATTTATAACCATACGCGACCTAAATGATGAATCCCCGCCAATATCTATCACTGGATTTGTTGGTTAATTTAAGACACAAAAATTAAAGAATAATCGATTGCTGAATGTTATTGTTTTGTTTAATGTGTGTTTATTTATACTACTAATTTAAAACTTTATACTTTGTTAAACTCACTTCAAGTAGGACGATGGAGATTGAAATTTTTCGTTTCGGATTTCAGCTCCTTTCAATTCTTTAAATTTACTTATGCCTTTTTATCCGTGTTTCATGTTAAAGCCGTTTATGGCGTTGGAGTCCTTCCCTCGATGGCCCATATTTATGTGTCATTCCCATAAGGGTGAACCCCGCTTTCATATGTTTTTAAAGGTGTGTTAGTGCTTATGATTCTTCGTCCAACTTTTCCTATTTACCTGGGCTAATGATTATTGAGGTTATATAAGATAGGTATATATATAATATATATAATATAAAATAATATATAATAAGTAAATATATATAAATAAATATTGAGAGTGTCAGCAATATTTCTGGTATATCCTAAATATATATATTATATTCTTAGTAATATACTATTGCTGGTATAAGTAAATAGATTAATGTTAATAAATCAACAAAATTGTTAGTATAAAATAAACATAAAAGACTTAAATGAAACCAAAAGTAAAATTATCGATATAATAATTTATAGAGACCTCTCTTAACGATTAGTAGGCATTAGTTATTCTGTGTTAGCTCATATACTGCATTATAATCCTCTGTGCTGAAGGAACATGTACTCACTAATCAGATTAATATGTGAAATCCGCTCTCCTATCCTTCCAAATATCATCCTTACAGTGGATAAGATAAGAAGCGAGACCTCCTACTCAAATAACCACTATAACTTGAGTGTGTAGTCAAAGCCAAGATCCAATTTAAGCTGCCATCTCATAGGTACTAGAATCCCTCATAAATTACTAACTGCACACACTGCATCTGTGAAAATTAATATAGTGAACTGAGGGTCACACCGGTTCACTATCGGTGCTTCTGCTAGGATTTTTCGCCCCGATAAGTTTGTGTGGCTAATCTAACTCTAATTGGTTGATCATCCGCAGAGATTATAATAAAAAATTCGGATCAGTGAAACAAGAATCTGCTCATATAAGTGAAATATTAATCCGAGTGTGTAAGTTAACGACGGTGTCCAATGGCTATATATGGATCAGTCACAACATTAAGGGTTAGCGAGTATCTTGAGACGATCGTGAGTGTTCTCTGTTGATACGCTTCCCTGTATATCTCTCGGCATGAAGATAATGCTTCGACCATAGCGGTCACTCATCTTATCAGAGAATTGTGAATAATGAGTGTCGTAATGTCAGGAAACATACTAAATTGTATTAAAGAAAATGTTTTTTAGACAATTTAAGGCAGGATATGTCGCGTACTCTCTCTAAAGATGAAGTGTCTTTAATAATGGGTAGAAGAACAGAGCGTTTAGAATTTAATTTTAAAATGCACACCTGATTAATGATACTCATAGTCTGAATAATGAGGTGCGATAATATATAAATAAATGAGGCTTCTAGAGAGTGAAATTAAATACTGTGTAATAGAACAGCTAAAATTATCATCAGGTGCCAACGGGCAAAAAAAAGGCCTGTAAATATGCATATTAATTCGCACAGGTCGAACAAAATGAATCGGCACTCAGCTACAAATAAGTATCCCTATCATTGCTCATATATGAGTGTTTAACCTCCTTGAATGGCTTAAACTAATTAATCGTATTTTCGTAGAGAAATAGCACTCTTTCAATAAATGATGTGTGATTGAACAGAAAAAAAAAATAGTTCCAGTGTGGTATACATGTGATTGACCTAATTGGAACAGTGCCAACTGTTGTTGAAAACACAGACCATCGCACGCAGCACAACTCGTGTATAGATTAGTCACAAGACAGGAATGGTGAGGCAAAGTGCAACCTTATGTCTATACGTCTGGATTTAGTTACTGTGAAACTAGTGCCTAATGGAAAGGCGTCATAGTCTACTATACCTATGAGGATAACTCTTTCAGTACAAATTGAACAGAAGACCAAAAGATCTGTGGTCAAGACATGAGAGTTGTATGTGCAACCTATCTAAACCAGAATACAACCTTCTTCAGCTTTCCCCTCACAACTCCAAAAGTCCCATGATTAATGAATGATGGAAAAGTGGTGTCTCGAACAAAATTAAATGATGTATATGAATTGCCTAGGTATGACCTCAGATGAGCCCAGGATCGACGTGATCCTCTGATCACTCGTGGACCAAGTAACTCGTTTCTCATTCTTATTGACTAGAGTATTATTTTTCAGACACAATTGATACTCATTGAGGTGAGTTTGTGTCTGATATAGTTATATCGAACGGTGAAGAGCAGACTAAGAGTTTTTACTTGCACTCCAAAGTTAGATCTGCACGGAAAGCACTTCGAGGAAAGACAATAGGTAATGCTGATGTCACTGGAGTTGACATGTTCAACTTGTGAATCTCGTTTTGTTGTTCAGACCTCAAGCGAGGTTGATTTGGTAAATGATGGGTATCGCTGGCGCAAATATGGGCAGAAACTAGTTAAGGGGAACACCAACCCACGGTACATGTTAGGTTTTCATTTAAAAATCCAGACTTACTTTCATTTCTACCAATGTTATGTGTGTTAGAATGTGTTTATATTAATCCATATTATCTCATTCTGCTCAGTATGGGCCACCCTGAACCCTTGTCACTATAAATTGACTGCATTAGCTTCCAGTTTTAAGATCTACTGAATTATTCTTCTTCTCGGAAGCAACAGGAAATGGATATAGTAATTCGTTTTGCATCATTTTCAAAGCTTGCTCAACATGCACCTTTGTAGGATTATAATTTGTGGTTAATTCTTCAGTCTGTACAACTATTTGTCACAACATTATGGGTTTAAACATGACTTGGCAGTTACCAGGTTTTGAAATGCCAGCGAATATCACAAATGTATGCACATAGATAAATAATTTTATTAGAAGTCTCTTGTGTTTCTTTAGTATTCAAACAAAGCAATGACAATTGACTCAATATTCAGTAATGCTTTGTTTTTGAACTGGTATATTGGGGTCTGCTAATGACCAATTCATTAGGTCTAACTGCAGCCTCTTCTCCTACTGGTAACACATCAAATTTTCAACCAGTTAATAACAACAGTTTTTAGATGTTTATTTTCTTTCTTTCTCTCTTCCAGAAGTTTTTAGATGTGTGTGTATGTTTTAATTTAATAACTGCATTTTCTCTCCACTCTTTCAGAAGTTACTATCGATGCTCAAATCCTGGATGCCCTGTCAAAAAGCACGTTGAAAGGGCCTCTCATGATTCAAAAATTGTGATAACTACCTATGAGGGACAACACGACCATGAAATCCCTTCTGGAAGGACTGTCACTAACAATGCAGCTACAAGTTCTCACACAGTAGCCGTTAATGGCAAGGCAGGAACAAAATCTGGAGGTAATTCCGTTTGTATTGATAAAGGGGAACACAGTTGCTTGGACTCGGCAAACAGATTACCTGACCAACTAAATGGAGAGTCAATTACCAAATCAAAGACTGGTGATATGGTTGAGTTTGGGATGATCTCTAATGAGGGTCCTGACAGTAAATTAAGTGAGCAAGAACAACAAAATGATAACTCAGAAATCAAAGATAATTCTGTCGGCAACGACATCATATGCCATTCAGGTTCTGGAGTTCCATGTAAATCAAACGAACAGCTGAAAGATGAGGTAAAAACTACATCAGAAGGAAGTAAGGATTGCCTTAATGTGGTTGCCATTCATGATACTCCTAATACAGGAAGTGAATTTAATAAGCAAACCTCATCTGATGCCGAACCTGTCCAAAGCTAAACTTGCTATACTTTTTCGAAGCTGCAGCTAGTTAATGAAGACTATACATAATTGGCAATGACATAGGTTATACAGTGTATATTATGAGATTATGGTTCCTGTTTCTTCACTAACCTTCACTGTACCTTCGAGCTCTGTCCTTGTCTTTGGGCAGATTGACTAAATATGAAAATCACAATTAATACTACATTGGATATCATTGCTTGTACACAATAATTATTAGAAATAAGTGAGTGAAGATTTACATTTTCGTATACGTGTATCTAAAATTCTAATTAGTCAAACATTAATACATGTAATTCTTGTTTTATGCCTACTAATGCTTTAATCTGTCTTTCTAAATGTAAATATAGAAAATATGTTGCAGAACTGTATGTAGTCTTTGAATCATCTATATTTTGTCACCTGTTGGGTACTAAATCTTTTTAAGGATAGTTTAGAATCCCTTTCTAATGTATGCGATTTCCCTATTTTTATTTTCACTGATTTATTTTTCTAGTTCACCTTTACTAGTCTGCTTCCAAGAAATTCTTTCTTCCTCCTCCAATGAAAAGCACGGCCATCAAAATGTTGGGGTCCACTACTGACGCAAGTCACATCCTCACTTCAATCATATAGGATTTTCCTCTCAGAAGAAAATTCTTTCCGTAGAAGGACCCAAGAATTTTCCGTCAGATTGGTCCACCAGAACAACGATCACATCGGCACTAACCCCACAAAGTACGCAGACTCAGGACCCATTAAAGGAATAACTCTGCGAAGTTAATTGTAGTCCCATTGCCTACCTCCCTCAGTCCCCAACCAAAAAAAACAAAAAAGATAAAATTCAGCAAATTTCAAGCAATTTGAAACAGTTCTGTATTTTCTTTTAGTAAATTACTACTTATCTTTCTTAATGGCTTTTCTATTAATTTAATCTAATTACTTAAAATATCCAATGGGGTATTTGGATCGACGTTAAAATATAATTTAAATTTAATGTAATTTAAGTGAGTTTCTACTCAACTAAGAATGAGAATGAACAGCAATATTTGATAACAGGATAGCATAGTCCTTGAAATATTTAAGCATTGGATTGCTCAGAATTCAAAGGCCAGAAAAAGATTATGAAATGAAAGGTTAATATTGCTGATAAAAGAAAAATGGTAGCTACATTTCCGATTGAAAGCAAAGAAAATGGACAATTAGATTGGATTTAATGTTGAGGTCTTTCTCATTAACTTCTACAAAGCAATGGAACAGAAAAAGAACAAGGACAGGTTCTGCTTTGTCCTCCATCGAACTTTCAGGAGTTACCTAATGCCCAGTTCTCATTTCCATGCGCAAGAAGCAACCAAATCTCTATTCATCCAACCCAGATACAGAGCTCCATCTCTCTCTTCAAGTCTATATCTATCACTGTAGTTCTCAAGCAATTTCTTAATGGTGCCATTCACCAATGAACTCAAGGGGTAAGGAGTGAAACCAGCCATTGCAAATCTTGACCTCCATTTCCCAAGCAGCTCATGTCTTTCCACCCTCTCCATCCCTTCACAAGCTATGATGTTAACCAAGTCTCTTGCCAAACAATGCTGTTCCACATTGATTCTCTCTTTATGATCTCTGGGAAGAGTCACATCTATTGACTCAAACATTGCTGTGTAGTAGTCCAGAGTTTCAAGGAAACGTGGAATGAATGCAGCAGTGTTGGTGTTAGATTCTTGCTCAACAAGTGTAACCACCTTTGGTGATAGGCTCTTAACCAACCTCAACAGCCTATCCCTGTGATTCTGAGTACTCACACTTTCATCTGGCATATGGTGTAGCATGAATGCAAAATTGACAGCCAGAGCTTGGCCTGGTCGAACACCAAGGTTATGTAGTTGAACATCACAACCAGAGATAGCTGCAGCATGAAATTCAAATGGCACCTTAAAATGCTCAGCAAGCTTTGATAACCTCTTTCCCACTATGTGTAGTCCACCGCCACGGGCATAGGCTGATGTTGAATCATCAATACCCGTGATCCGGATGTGGGGTGGTCCTCCAGGTCTAGCCGCAAAAGCCTGAATTAACGTGATCCATTGACTTCCTTGAGCAATTTGGAAATCAATTATGTGAACTGTGTCTTCATCTTTCATAGCTTCTGCAATGGCTCCATTTGCAGACATGTACCCAAATTTGAAGTAGGGGCAAACCTCATATAGTATGTGCATGTAGGAGAGAAGCTCAGCACTTTCTGGTTCTTTGCATCGTAAAGATTTGTATATTGAACTCCCAGAGGCAGCCAATCGGGCAACGAGACCTTCCAACATGTATGCTCCCAAGCGTTGGATTGGTTCACCAGAAACAGACACCATCTGCCGTAATTCATCCATCAGCCATTGTGCAATCAGCAAATCATTGTCTGCAATTGCTTTGGCACATGAAATAAGGATCTGTTTTAGGCTTTTACTAGAAATTGCCAGCATTGTTTGTCTCAAACTGTCCATCTCAAGTGAAACAAAGTTGGTTTCGTTGCTGATGGCACTATCATAACTATCAAGATTATCAGAGTCAGGGCCAAACATTACACTTTCCAACTCTCTTAGCTTGTGCTTGAAGCTGCTTAAATCATCAGTTATGCAAGATCCACTCATTGGAGAGCCATAGGTATTCTCAGGGGAATTATGCTGGTCAGGTGGATATGACTGAGAATCATGCTGCGATATGGGGCTACCGTTAGGTGAGAAACTAACAGTTGAAGGAGAATTGTATACAGTGAAACTGCCAGCTGCAGAGGATGATTCTAATGTACAGTAAAATTCAGAAGAACTTGGATTGGAGAAGTGGGTTCCATGGCCTCCGTTGTGGTAGTATAGCTGATGATTTAGAGTTCGATACTGCGGCATGCAGTAGGCTTCAAATTGTTGTAATGGTTGATGGTACATGCTTGAACTTCTATGTTGCTCTGATGCCTGCATCTTAGAATTAATAAAAGGGTATTTTTTCGTGCCTCAACTGTATTGTTGTAGTCTATATGGTCTCTTCAAGCAGATGATATTAGAGCAGAACAATCAACAACAGTTGTTAATTGGTACTCATGATAACAAAACAGATGTCCCTGGATTTTCTTTCACAGTATCAATTACATATAGTCCTTAAATTGCTAAAGTTCACTGTTCTGAGAGGAGATAAACCACAGATTTGACAATCTGTTGTCTGCAAGGAAAAAAGCACAGCATCAGGGTTATCATATCATCAATTTTCAAATTTCATACAATGAATAGAAGTGATAGAAAGCAACAGCTGAAATATTCAGTTAACAGGATCCACAAAACAAGGATAACTTTTTCATGGCTTAAAGAAATTAGGCAATTTTTAGAGTCAGCGCACTGTTACAATTAGTCTACTTCTTCTTCTTCTTCTACCGTGTATAATCAACAACTTGACTCCCATACCAAGTCAAACAATTCATCTCTTTGCTTACCTTTTTTATGAAAAAGGAATAGAGAACTAACTGGAGTGAGAGTTTCCTAGAAACTGCATAAATGACCAATTCTACAGATTACTGATTTTTCTCAACCACAAAAAGAAAGAAAAATACTTTGAAATTTCCAGAATCAAACAAACAGTAGGGAATAAATATTTATTAAGGAAAAGGGAACAATCCAAACATGAACGTGTAATTTCCATTAAACAAATTAAAAAGACAGGACCCACAAAAATGTAATATGGCCCTGTATGTTGCAGTGAATCAGTCTTCATTTGAATGAAGTTAAGTATTCTAAACAACTAATTTACATATGTATACTGAAAATCCTCAACCCAATCTAATGAAAAATATGCTTATAAACAAGAAATTTTCCAATTCTACTTGATGAAGTCATTACAGTTTTGAACTGATAAAAAAACAAAAACTCACTTGAAGTGCCAGTCAGAACAGAGGCACAAACCACAAAAGTAGCAACAGCAAATGGGAAGTTCTTTCTTTTTTTTTTCTGTGTTTAATGAAATTCCACAGATAATATCACACATAAAGGATACGACAAGTTTTTTATCAAACCGCCCCTTATATAAGTATTCACATACATACGTAACAAAATTTGAGTGATGAGCATATAGGTTCGCAGCAAAAATGCACATCACCTCATCATTAGAAACAGAAGATCAAAACTCGCATCTCATTACATGTATTGATTAAGAATCAGTTAAGGATAAGAGGGGGGGGGTGAAGAGATCGAAATTTCTGCAAAAAACAATTCACATCACAAAGAGCAATGCTAAAAGCTAGAGCTCAGAAAGTCCACAGGCAAGAAGTATGAGCTTGATATACTTTACATCACCAACCCATTTGAAAAAAAAAAAAAAAAAAACCTTGTAAATCAACGAAGAACAAAAAAAGAAGCAAAATTTCAAGGCAAATATGAAGCCATGAAATGGCTTTCATTGGCGAAGTTGAACATAAAACAAGTTTCTTACCGTGTTTGGAGGAAATTCTAAGGTTAGAAAACCACAGTGGATACAGAATCTCAGAGCAGTAAGGAGTATAGGAGACAGAGAAGTGGGAAGGAAGACAAGGCTATTCTAATGAGAGAAAAAACACTAAGCAGTGGCATATAAAATAATGAAGAAAAAATTGCCTTTCCATTATCATAGAAACTACACAGAAACCATTGGTAGGTGTTAATGTTAATACGATGCTTGGTGGCAACTTTTGTTTCCCTGAAATGACAAGAATATCCCTTTTAGTAGCATGCTTGGTCAAATATAACCATCAATGCTACTCTTTCAAATGTGTCTCACAATAAAACGTGGCACGCGCTGAGTGAGTTAGCATCATCAGTTCACTTCAGTTTCCTTTTCAGTCCTTCCCCTTATCTATTCATTTTTCTCTTAAACTATTAATAACTTGAAAAAATTGATGCTAGATGTGAAAAGACACAAATTTGTACATTTGATTTTATTTTTTTACACTTGAATATCATTAGTCCAAATTTAAATACACCTACTACCAGAACCATAATTCAGTATTTAATTTTTTAGGACGCCACATCCTAAAATGATTATTACATTAATGACTTAACAAGATTTATGCTAATTTGGCTAAAGACATCAACGTGTAGAAGCATAATATTGTATCTGCATACTAATGATAAAAAAATAATATAAACCTCACCAACAAACTTAAAGTTATTTAAATAACAACCCAAAATAATAAAAATTATTGTACGGATTAATGTTTAATTATTGTACACAAATATATACAATAATACTATTGCAAGTTTTGGATATGCATCCGTCCAGGGAAGTTTAGCTGGACTGATATCTCTTGCACGACATGCATAGGCAATGACATAAGAGAAATGACATACTCAACTGGTCGGTCCATTGTAGTTTGCTATTATTATTAGCTAAAAAAAATTGTATTGCTTGTGTTATAACACGTGTTATGAAAACTTTTTTATTAAGTTTTGAAAAATGCATGTATTTTTCTTTTCAATTTGTTATAGGTGAACAACACACGACTAGGTTAAAAACTATGCTTCATGGAAAAAAAAATAATAATAAAGAGGAATGTATTTGCTTGCATAATATAGGAATTACTAGATAAAACCAAACTTGTAATTGTGTTGAAAAAGTTTGAGAGTAATTGTTTCGATGAAATAGTTGTGTTGCCGTAAGTTGTTTGAAATTATTGGCACAGTGATGTTTTTCCTTAATTCTTTCAAAATGAAGCTGAGAAATAGTTTGACAAGAAATTGGTGATCGAGCCTCACTCACCAATTAAACAACACCAACTACGATTTAAAAGATGTTTATCTTCCTCATAGTGTGCTTAATATAATGGATTCAATTCTAAGTCTCATAATGCAAGTAAGACTCGACATTTTGCAAATTCGGGAAATTGCATGAAGTTTCATCCCAATTCAGTTGTTTTGGAGGATGGAATTAGCAACCCAAAGCAAGAAAATACGAACTAGAGATCACTATTGAAGTTTCACACTAAAGAACAGATATAGAGCAATATGGTATGTGTGTACATATATAAAAACAATTATGAAAATATTAATCAACAAATACTTAAAAAATTTGTATACATTTATTTGGTTAAGTTCACTTGTTATGTCAGGTGCTTCTATAATTTATCTTAATATTTGGTTTTAAGTCCAATGACCCTGATGTTTTAAGTAAACAAAATTGAAAAAATATAAAACAAATTAAGGTCGTTTTGGTAATTTAATGAGTCTATTAAATTCTTTGTTTATTTTAGACATTATATGAATCAATATTATACAAGTGATCCATGAATGGTTGTGATTGAAAAGGTGGCGTTTGGTACTCTTAAGATAATGACCCACACGGTTGAGTTCTAACTTTGGAAGAGACAGAACCTTACAAAAAGGTATGGCATCAATGATGTAAGAAGTAGTGCCTTACACTTCAGCTAACATGCACTTGACCCCTTTTTATATAGTTTAGTGTTTGTAATTTTTTTTAATTATGCATATTCATTTTTATATATTTTTCTTGTTGCACTTATTCTCTTTCATAATCCACTCAACTAATCTCTAAAATATCCTCTTAGAATCTCTAAAGCTTTAAAATAATCACTACTTCTTATCTTAATCTCATTGAAGTTATAATGTAGCCTATGGAAAGTTACAAACTCAAATTATTGAAGTGTGCGCATTCCTTATGGATACCTTTCATAATTTCGTCTTCAATTTATTAAAAGCAAAAAGGATTGGGTGTTAACTACAATAAGGTTGGTATAGTGATTTTCAATAATCGGTGATAATTATCTTTCAACCATTTTGTTAATTGTTTTGTGGTGGTTTACCTGAATTTACTTAGTCCTATAGGAAACCATCGTTACCATAAACTTTCATTATTATTTCTTTGGTTTATATAGTTTTTTCCAAGTACCCAATGCACGAGAATAGGAATAATTTGACTATTGAGATAAGGGCTTAGGAAACATGTATTAACTTTTATGTACACATAATTTAATAAACAATGTAATATGTTTCTGCGTAACTGACTTTGAATCCACGTTATTTCATTATTCAAATCCCACATTTAAAATAAACTGAGTATTTTAGAGCAAAATAAAGATAAAAGACAAAGCAAAGAGCAACTCATGCTTCGATTTTGTTCCTATCTTAGCCTTACTACTATTATTTATTTTGGTCCACCATATATATCACTTTATACGCGTGCTCTTATGATATTGTTAGATCACATTCTTATTATTGAATGAAATGTTGAAAGGCTTTAATGCAAAAATTGCCAAATTAATTGTTTCTCTAGAAGCCATAGATGAATTAAAGCATGAAGGATTTTGCTTTGTAATAGTCAAGTTTTAAGAGAAACTAAGTGTTAAATTATCATACGTCCATTCTTACAAATGATAAAGCTCCCATGCCAAAGCATAGAATAGTTCATTGATGTGATTTAGCAAGTAATTTTACCCCCTAAATATGCTTGTGGAATCAAATGTACCAAAGAACTAGACAAGAAAAAGGGGAAAAAAAAGGAAGAAGAAGGAATCTTGTTAATACTTTGTCCTCTTCAAAGTGAGTGTACATGGTGGCCCACACCCTTACCTTCTATTTACCTTTTATTTGTCAATTGATGTTATTTGGAGTTTTGTGTTTATTCTTGTGTGCGCCAGCGATTGTGTTGAAGATTTAATAAGTGATGGAAACATTATATATTGACATATTGTGGAACTTATACTTAATTTAGCTTATGGGTCAAGCGAGATGATCTCTAATCTCTCTCAAATAATTTTTAATTTGCTTTTATGGTTTGCATCTGAGTTCCAGTTGGACAGAAAAATGACCTAAATGAAAGTGACATAAGCCATTTCGCCATCATTGATTGTTTGGACTCCAATTTGATTCCCCACTTTGGATCTCCATGTTATGTCATTAATTGATGTAAAAAAAAATTCTTTTTGTCTTAGATGAATTGCCCAGATGCTTTGAATATCAATCCAATTTAAACTTAAAAAGATAAAGCATAAATAATCAAATTTCAATGAAGGGCAAATAAAAATCATAAATCTAGGTATTTGTTCATTTATATATACTCAATGTAACAAAAAATGAAAGGGTAAAACAAAAAAAGAGTGAAAATTCATTATCGTCTTTTTTGTTGTGATGGAGTTTTCATTGTTCTTTGCTTTACCCCATCAATCATCTTTCTGAAGATGGGCTAATGTTTCAAACGCTTTGGCCTTCGTATCTAAGTTTATTACAGTTTGTAATAATTTTAAGAAGAATATAATCATCATCTGTTTGATTTATGTAGTTGACCTTTAGTTTAAAAAAAGCTTTTTCTTATTGTTGTTTTAGTATTATTTTGATTTTTATTTTTAAATTTTATATGCATTAGGTGATAGGTTAAAAGGTTAAAAATAGAAAGATTTGGTTAAAGATAAAATAATTTATTAAAGATTTTGATTTGTTAAAAATTATCCAAAAAATCGTTAAACTGATAGTTAGTCGTTATAATAATTAGTTTGTTACTTACATAAATATGGTTAAAAAGAGCAAAAGTAAAACAGTGCTATTCTTTTAATCCATTTTTAACTATAAAGTAGCATAATCTAATCCAGAGATCAAAGTAATCTAACAAACGATGCCAACTTTTAATAGAGTAGTTTCCACTCTCTACTCATTTCACTAAGGTTTACTTCTTCTTTATTGTTGAAGAGTTAAAATTATTATGCAATTAATGAAGTTTTGGGAATGTGGTATGATCCAATGAGATTAGAACCAACAGGACTCAAAATGTTAAATTTAATAAGTCAAATCCAAATATGTACCACAACTCTTACCCTTTATTGTCCAATGCAATATTTCTTTCCTCTGTATTTACTCTGCATAGAGAGGTGGACAAAACATGACAACTAACACATGACTAATGTTATTTGTCTTGTCCAAGGAGTCACCAAGTGTTACGGGCTTTTAGGAGGTTAGATCGATCTTAACAACTATTTCCACTTGCTGTCTTCTTTTGTAGCCTGTAGCTTCATCATTATGAGATCTATTTTTTCTCCTCTGATGATGACTTTCTCATTACTTTCTTTGCTCTATTTTTGGAAGAATAAAATTAAACAATTAAAAACTTGCAAAAGTAAGCCCCAAAATTTAGGGAACATTCAAAAAATCGACATTATATATAATTAATTTTTATCCTTTTGATTTTCTATACATGTATCTAAAAAAAAGAAACCACATTTTGTTATCCACTTTGATTGTTGAAAACTCATGTTCCCAAAATTTAAGCTTACTAGTCAATTTCTCATCCCAACATACATAGATTCTTTTTCTTTTTCTTTTTCTTTTTTTTTTAATCTAAATTACTATGACTTCTTTATTTGAGTACATTATCATGCATAATTTCGCTTACTCATAAATAATGTTACAAATGGTAAAACAACATATAATCTCTGCTCCAAATTCCCTGTTCCCTCTTCTAATCATTTTGCCAACATTCATATAGCTGAACTTCTAGCAGGTGGAGACAAGAAAATGGGTAGATATCTTAATCAAATGGAAAGGACAAAATGCTTGCATCTGGCCATGGCAATGGAATAGCACACTAGGCTAGAAGCTCCTATAAATTGCATGTCTTACATAGGGACTATAGAGCTGCCTTTGTCCCCCACTTTCAGAGCACTAAAATGAACCTGAACTCTTAGAATGAGCT